TATATATATATATATATATATATATATCAAAATCAACTTAAATCAAGGAACAAACAATACACTTTTAACATATAACATTTAGATCATTTAATTTAAAATAAATTCAATATGAGTTGTTATTGTGCTTTTTTAAATTTAAGATAGAGACGTATGAGAGATAAAGAGTGTAGAGTCTTACAATAAGAGGCATTTTCATGGGCGAAAAAATAAATTCATGATTAACTGTAAACCGTTAGATCAACATTTTTGAGATTATCTGAACCATTTTTATGTTGGGATTACGTTGTCTGTTAGATGTGTTTATGTTTTGTCTCAAAACGATCTGGGCCTCTTTTTGTCTTTTGGATTCAAACTTTGTTCTACTTTATATATATATATATATATATATATATATAAAGAGAGAGAGAGAGAGAGAGAGAGAGAGAGAGAGAGAGAGAATGTATGTGAAATTACTCACAAAGCCTACATGGTCACAGTTTTGGTTGACTTGCTCAGTCAATAATAGGATTAGGTTAGATAACCTGGTAGACCGACTTGATCTATCATTGAAGTGTTTACACTTGAATCTCTTATAAGCATTAAAGACTTGAAGAACAATGATCATACAATTTTTCTTATAGAATTTGATAATGCAAAAATAGATGGTGTCATTGCTACATCATTAAATAAGCAAATTAGCTAAGTTTTTAGGGCTCAATAACATTGCTTGAGGGGGAGCAGTCACGTGGTTCAAATTTTGGTGAAATTAGGAAAAATTTCAGGGACTTTTAGGCATAAAATTAGGGGGATTTTTAATGTTGATAGATACTTGGAAGATTTTTGGTCAATGTAAAGATGGTCATGATAAATGAATTGTTTTGCCATCATCCATGCCAATATAATTGTTAATTGATCGTATTGTATTGCGTTTTTGTTATGTCTAATTTATATTATACTAATATTTGTCTAATTCTTATCCAAACCACTAATAATCTATTATAGATGACTTGATTTCATGTCGAGTTTGTGTCTTTCATAAGCCATGTTTAGTAGAATTATCTCATTTTTAGCCAAGTTTTTGGCAACCTTCTTATCTAATGTGTCCATCCGAACCCGTTAAGACTAAAAACAACCGCTAGCTCTATGTTTATTTTGTGTTGAATTTACGATGCTTTGTATAATTGTTTGACCCACATGTCAACTTGCCAAGCTAAAATAGACTATGTTTTTCTCAAACCTTTTTATGGTGTTTTTGCAAAATATTGAGCATTATAAATGCCCAGATTATAATTGCGATCAAAGCCACTTGTCTTTTTATAGTTATGAACATTCGTGGTTGCACGTCATTTTTCTTTTGTGGTTTATTGTAAGTTTTGTCAAGTCATACTACTTAATGGAGCTGTTTTAATGTTTTGAAGAGGCCTTCTATTTTCTGTGATGTGCTTTGCTGAATGCTAATGATGGAAAGTTGGAAGATTCAAACATTTAAATGTCTTTATATATCCCCCAACACTTGCCTGGAGAGAAGGTGCTTTATATTATTGTGATTGCCAGTTGCTTATGCATATTATTTTAGACTTAAAAATATGACTTTATTTATTGACATTATGATATATCAAGTGGTATTATTACAATAAAGACGTCTAACAATTACAACTATAATAATATTATTGAACCATTACAAGAATTAGGGTCTTTTGGGATAATTTTTTTTTTTTGTTGTCATAAAAAATTTATTTGTTGCCACAAATATAATTTGTGACGATTGTTGCCGCCACAAAGATTTTTTGAAACTCTACTTATTAAGTTAGGGAATTAAGTCAAATTTTAGGATAAAAATATCAACTCATTTTTTATGACAAAGACTGCTCATTTGGTGATAGATCTCTCGGGGAGAAAATATTCATTACAACTATGATACCACATGGCAAGGTGATATGGTATCATCAATCAATAATACCAAAACAAATAAATAAATCGATTCTACAAAAATTAATAATTAACATGCTTTATAAGCAAATAATTCCTCATTCTTTTGCCATATAAGCCTAAGTGAAGTTTATCTTATTCATTTGAAGTTTTATTACAGATCGGTGATACCATGTGTTCAATATTTACTTATCCTCCCTGGGGTGTGCTTTCATATGTGTATCATCTCACATTTTGTCTTGTACATGGTTACGTGTTCTTTATTGAACAGAATGTGTTTTCTCTATTTTCCCCCCCCAAAAAAAAAAACAGAGAAAAAGAAAAAGAAGGAACAAATCTTTGAATGTTTTGAAGTTCTCACTGGTAGGAAGGTCATTGTCCATGACAATTGACAGCTAACCAATTTTTTTTTTTTCNTACATCCAATAGAATAAATAAATCCCAACTAAGTTGACGCCTACTAACTTATCTGTGATTTGCATTAATCTACTATTTAAAACTTATATGCTTAATAAATGGAAAAAAAAATTAATACATTATTCATAATATCTAAATTTTTAAAACTTCAAATTTCAATATTAGGAAACTTATTTCAAAATTTCAAATTTAATGGACTAAAAATATAACTTTTTCAAATTTGATGGCGGGCTCTTGGATCGAGTAATGTGTTTGACGGCAAATTCAAGCCCTCTTTTTAAGGAAATTGGGCTCGGGCTCGAGTTTGGGCAGGCCAACTGTCGGGCTTATCGGGCTTCAGGCCGAGTAATGAGACTCGTGGGTAACCTAGCCCATGAACACCCCTAATTGTAATAATTATACCAATTACTATAATAAATTGTTCATTGATGTTGTAATTTTACCTACTATTGTTGTAAAATTTTCACTAATATTATAATTTTTTTCACTATTGTGATAATTTTGTTCACTACTGTCGTAATTTTTTCACTAATATTACAATTTTGTTTACTATAGTCGTAAACTTTCCACTGATGTTGTAATGTTGTCCTTCTTTAGTAGTTTTTTGGTATGATACCGAAATATTCCATTCGGATACCGCTCCACAAAAGTATAGTACCTACTTTTAAACTTCTCTTAATAATATTATTTAATTTTTGTTTTAAATAAGTTATTTGGGTCCCACAAGTTAACTACAAAACTACTATACGACTGTGGACATCAAACCAAATATATCTAAAATTTAAGATAATTATAAATATATTTAAAAAATAAAAAAATAAATTTTTTACAAGCGTCAGATTTATATTAAACAACAAAAAGTGAAAACATGAGGCTTTGTTTTTTGGTTAATTGCGCAGGGGAGCGTTGGGAGGTGTCTGAAGTTTGTTTCATTTTGGTTCTCATTATTTCAATTACATCATTTTAATCTCTGAAGTATTAAATATATTTTTATATGATCACTTAAACAGATATCGTCTAAATTACTAACAATTTTTTATCATAAACTTATCACATGATACTTAAATACAAACAAAAAAAATAATTTGGATAACTCTTGACCAAATTTTTACTCAAATTTTTGATAAATAGCTATTTAAATTATACAATTTTGATCATAAATTATCCCAATTGTGGTAAAAAAAAATTCATATTACATATTTTTTGTTAAGAACTACCCAAATTTTGTTTAAAAGCTTACAAAATTATTTTTTGTCTATACTTAGGTATTACATAATAAGTTTATGATAAAAAATTGTTAATAATCTAAACGTTGTCTGCTTGAAGAAACATATAAAAATATATTTAATATTTTAAAGACCAAAATAATATAATTAAAACATTAAAGATAAAAATAAGATAAACTTTAAGTATCTTTAATGCAATTAACCCTTTCAAGTTGTCAAAGTGGGTCACACTAGCTTACACTATTTGTCTCTCTCTGGGAAGGAATATAATGACGTGGTTAGGCTTGTCAAGCCGTATTATAGGAATGCGATGCCTTGGTCAATGGGGTTAGGGGTGGTAACGATTTCATTTGATAATAATTAATTCAACAATAATAAATTTTTCAAAAGGGCATTTACTTTTTAGCTTTGTGCTTATCGATCTGCTATAAGTAAAATTTTCCGGCCATCAGAGCTTCAGATCTCTCTCTCTTTCTCTCTCACTCTCTTGTTTCTAGCTCCTACTCTCACAAACCTCTATTGCCATTTCCATCCTTCTCTTCCTCAAGAGACTCAATCTCTGGTCAATAGTTCCCTATTTATCTCTCAAAGTCTCTGTCCAGAGACAGTTTTTGTTCCCCAAGTGTCCTCAAATGGAGTCCCAAAATGTGTGCTTTCAAAAATTTCTGTCAGATAGGGATGTCCATGGCAATCTGGAAATTCCCAACAGGGCAGATTATTTGCCGGAAGGAAATGAGGTCATGCGTGTAACTGACCGACACGGAACCACATACGAATTCATAGCCTCTGTAAGGGCAAGTGGGAGGCGTTCTCTGACACGCCACTGGCACACTTTTGCAGTGGAAAAGGGTCTTCGAACCGGTGAGTTGCTACGGATTTATCGGTTAGGAAATGGGAATGATTATGCCGTTCAGGTTGGCCTGGAATTTCATGGACTGTACATAGTCTGGGAAACTATGTAAACGTGCCACTGTAAAATTCTGTGGTTGGATATCACAAAAATGATGCCAAACTTTTCGTTTTCATGAAGAAGCATATGGGTTAGATGTAGATTCAAGTTTAATGCCGGCGACTAGTTTCTGTATATATTTCTTGTGAAAAAGCTGAAAATCATGTAAAATGTATGGATTTAAGTTTGAATCAAGGTCCAAATAGCATTACTCTCTTCCTTTATCTTCGAGCAGCATGGATGGAACCATCACATCCCTAAAGGTCATAAATGGAGCTTCATATATATATTGTATGGATATGAAATGCCGGCGATCAGTTCGTGCATGAGTTTTTCTTTGGATCAAAACCCATCTGAATTAGCTTCTTCTTCAGATGATTGTTCCAGAAATTCAAACCTTTGTAGTTTGTACAAATCAGAAAATATTGTAGTTACGGATAATACTGTTAGAAAATAATCAGAAAATTTCCGCTTAAACTATTATAGTTTTGTTGGGAATCTGAGAGTTACGGGTCATTATAGTATTGCTTTAGGCTGGGCCTTATATTTGAGATCAATTGAAAAATATAAGAATGAATGAATGCAATGTCATTTATACTGTGTTTTTGGACTGTCAATGTGACAGTTTGACTTCTATCGATAATCTGTCTATTCCGGACTTATGTAGGATAAAACTGACCATTTTGAATAGGTACTAACTTTATTTTTCCCATGTACTTAAATAATGAATGAATAACATTGGCAGGATTGTCAACGTCCTCTCTTTCTAATTCCAACTTTCATCAACTTATAACAATAGTCTCAATCAACCTAAATGTAACCAAAATATCATGTGACTCCTTGTCCACATTAATTGAAACGAAAATTGTTAAATAATCAGTATAAATTGTTTGAGAAGAATCCTCAATATTAAGAAAATATTTGATGTAATGGTTACATTATGTCAACAATGATATGTGGTGTAACCGTCTACTAATAAGTAAATAAATAAGTAAATAAGTCCCACAAAATTAAATAATCACTCATACATGTAATATGTAACCACCTTCATATTAGACAATATAATTCACTCTATCTATTTTTTAATTTTATAATTAGACGGTTATACCACGCGGTAATACTGACATAGTATAATCATTAAACCCAATAATTACTCATATATATATATATATATATATATATATATATATATATATATATA